ATTGCCAAGCTGATGAGCTCCTCCGGGGCTTCCTGCACCTTCATGGGTTTCTTGACCTGCTCGTGCCGCACATGCGACAGTCATAGAGTTGTTCCATCGATGCTTGCATACATACCATACATACATACGTACACAAGTACATACGTCAATACATACATGCACAGCTGAAGTGGCAAAACCCCAGCACATGCACATACACACTTAGGTTATTTTTATTGATTTCGTCTGGATACCCTTATCTATTCGCTCAGTAGTTACATCCTTCGCTCGATCGTTGTCATTGTACATCTGAATTTATCTTGTTCGGAACGATGACCGCCCACACGAGTGCAAACGTGCGTATATTATAGCAAAAAGGTGTGTGTTTCTTGACTTGGTAAGTACACCCGGGGGGGAACGTAGCAACGCAGCGAGCAATGGAATTCGAAGACCAAGATCCCGAACCCCACGACCGTCGCTGCAGTTGGGAAGCCTTTTTACTTTACACCATTTTACACCGAAGGAATCGTAGGAATAGGACTGCATCTGTATTCCTACCGTCCAGCATTGCGTCGTCCGTCTGAAGGTCTGAATGCACACGAGCGACATAAACGCACAAGCTCCTTGTGCGTTAAGCAGGCTCAATCGCCGAATGTCCAAACTAGATGCGAAACCCCTGCGCGATGAGATCTCCCCTCTGTCATGAACATTCATTGCAGGTTTAAGCCGGAGAGAGGAGGGTCTATTTTCCGAAAAACTTGGCAGCGCATGCCTTTTCACTTCGCTATCTGAGTCCTTGTGGTGGCTAGGCCAGCCAAGGCGACCGAATGAAGTGCCATAATGAGGAGCTCCCGAATCTTCCTAGAGTTTGCTTTAGCTGCGTCGATTTATCTTGGCTCAGGTTCAGCTCCGAAGCTATCACTGCAGGTCATAGCCAGTAGGCTAGAGATTAGGAAGAAGACACTGCCTATGTGAATCTCACACTCACAGACGAGGAGGATCACCAGTGATCGGAAACAGATCTTGCGACCGGAGTGTCACAGAGGAAAGTATGCGGACTCAGTACCTCCCAACTCCAAGCCCAAGTTCGGACATTGGCTCTCAACACGCTTTCTCTGAAAGTCGCGGCACGTTCGCTTCATGTTTCGCAATACCAGCTACACAGTGATTTCCTGGTAAACGCTTGCCGCCTGCAAATGTGTGTGTGTGTGTGTGCGTGTGTTATCCTTCATGCTTGTTCATGACATTGAAGACTATGTGATTCATCACATGAATCAAGACGGCCAGGCCTTGTGCAACGGCTGTAAACTACAGCGAACCACCAGCAACAACGAGTAACAACTAAGAGTATGATAAGGACCGCCGCCACATACAGTGGATGCAGAAATTGTGGAATTGTGGATTTTTTGACAAGCTATTCCGCAAAGCAAGGCCCGAGATGAATTCCGATCTTCACGGAGGTTGGCTACCGGTATTGCAAGTGTGGGCTGCGACCCGGGAGCGTGGGATTCGTGGGCAGATCGCACATGCTTGAAGTCTTGGTGTCCATGCACCCAGACTACGATTCCGTGCAGCCATAAAAACTCGAAGGAAGGAGGCTGCAGCCTCTCAGAGGAGCGATTGGTCGAACGGTTGAAACCGAACTACGATTAATGGAATTCCCAAAACTGCTCTGGATCACTTCTCACAGGCTTATGCGAAGAGTCCCAGTGCATTGAGGTCGGCCAACGCAATACTCTTCCTCAACATTGTATGCACTTTGAACAAGCTGTCGGTCGCTGGGGTGCTAAGGCACAGAGCAAGAAGAGGCGCTCAAGGGTGCGTGTGGAGCTTTCAAAACTCTCTATCTGCGGATACAGATCTACTGGTACTTCAGAGAGTCTGTAAACATGAGTGTATCAAAGGTAATGAAGCAGGCGTTCTGGTGCAACCTCCCTCTACTACTGAGGCCGGTGAAGCCGAATGGTTCGGAGCGAGAACGAACCACAGCTTGAAGGCTGACCCTCCTAGCTTTGCTAGGCGGGGCCCGTGGCACAGTGCACTGTCGGTATCCTGCTTCCTTTGGGAAGGCAGGGAACCTTTGCAATGAAGACCAGCATGTGGGTGTCATGTAACTGGCGAGGTCTCCGTTCCGAGTTTTTCGGAGGGCTTTGTAGCTGAGGGCTCGTGAGAATCACCGACAGTGCGCGCCACAGGTATCCGACGGTTATGCGCATCGTCTAGTCGGCCCAGGGCCGAGACGGTCTAGACATCTGAGTCTGCCTCAATGCGCATGTTCAGACTGCTAACTCTGGCATCCCGACAGGGAGGCACACCCATTTGCGAGCTGCGACCACACTACTTTCCCTATCAGCCTCGTCAGAATTCGTCCGAAATGACCTTGTCCTCAGTGCGCAGCCGGGGCAAGTGTTGGACCGCAGTTGAGGTCTGGATGGAGGGATTAATGCCGAAGCAGATAAATGAAGTTTAGGCTGAAGCGAGATCTTGTGCTGCGCGACGATTACAGACTGCGCCCCTAGCCAGAACCATCAAAGGCTTGTTTTCCTCAAGCTCAGAGATCTGACTGCGATTGGCAGCTCGTCAAAAATTGCTAATGCGCTGGTTTGCTCCACATAACCAGCTGCTGATGTCACGCTTGCTAAGGTTTCAGCAACGCAACATATCAGCTTTGCTGAAAGGCTGGGTGGCTTCACAGGGCCAGCTGCGGTTTCAGCAAAGCAACATATCGGGTTTGTTGAACAGCTGGCTTGCTCCACAGAACCAGCTGTTGAAGCATCGAAGTTTTTCGCAGCTTCTGAAGCAATACAATGCTTTTCAAAACATCTTCGTGCGGACCGACAGGACACGCAGCACCACTTTCGGCGAAGCTCGTCATTTAGTCGAACAGCGTCAGCCCAAGGGTGGCTATCGTGGCTACTCTACACGTTCAGCGGGCACACCGGCGCAACATGAACTCGGACATAGACAGAGGCACCATGAAGCTTTGGCCATTACAACCAGTAAGACTTAAGCTTTCGCCGTGCCAGGAAACAGATGGAAGCACATCAAAACTGAGGCCGGAAGAATCCGCCTTGGGAAGATGCAAGGGGGCAAAATGTCGAACGTCAGGCTATCCTCATCCAACGGTCGGGAACGGCTTGCACCCTTTCGTGCGCGTTTGTGCACTCACCGACATCCCCATAATTAAGCAGGGGCTCGGCAGAGGATCGTTTCGGATGCTTTCTCAAGTCGGCAAGACGAAACCGAACTGCAAATAAAGTTGTTAACGGACAAACACGTATCATAAGCCAGCGATGCTCTGGATCTGTGAACCCAGAATAATGCCGTGCAGCACACGAGTACTGGAAAAAGCATCCAAGCAAGCACTAAAGCCGGAAGACAAGATGAAAAGCACATCATCAGAGCTCGAATGTCAGGGACCTGAGTGCGGCCAGCGCTTCGTCCCAAGCTTGGTGAAGTCTGCCGCGGACATACACGATTGGCTAGGGAGAGGGAGAGGGAGAGGGAGAGGGAGAGAGGGAGAGCGAGAGGGAGAACGAGAGAGAGAGAGAGAGAGAGAGAGGGAGAGAGAGAGCTAGAGAGAGAAAGAGAGAGAAAGATAGAGAAAGATAGAAAGAGAGCAGCAGAGAAAGAGAGAGAGAAAGAGAGAGAGAGAGACAGAGAGAAAAAAAAGAGAGGGAGAGAGAGCAAGAGAGAAGGAGAGAAAGAAGGAGAAAGAGAGGAGAAAAAGAGAGAAAGACAGAAAGCGAGAGAAAGACAGAGACAGAGAGAGAGACCATGCGAGCGAGACAGCGAGACAGCGAGACAGCGAGACAGCGAGACAGCGAGACAGCGAGACAGCGAGACAGCGAGACAGCGAGACCGCGAGACCGCGAGACCGCGAGACCGCGAGAGAGCGAGAGAGCGAGAGAGCGAGAGCGAGAGAAACACAGAGACAGAGAGAAAGAGAGAGAGAGAGAGAGGCAGAGAGAGGCAGAGAGAGGCAGAGAGAGGCAGAGAGAGGCAGAAAGAGGCAGAGAGAGGCAGAGAGAGGCAGAGAGAGGCAGAGAGAGGCAGAGAGAGGCAGAGAGAGGCAGAGAGAGGCAGAGAGAGGCGGAGGCAGAGAGAGAGGCGAGGAGGGGGAAAGGGAGAGGGAGAGGGAGCCTCGAGCCCAACTCTGGCGGCTTTTGCATAACTAAGGCAGCAGCCCAGGCGCAAAGGTGCGCAGCTGCTGATAAAGGCCCTCCACATCCGTCGGAAGAAGCCGGATCAACGCCGTCAGGTTCATCTGGCGCAGTGTCCTGATGAGCTGCTTCTCGTGAGCTTGGTGTAGGCAAGAAGACGCAGCCAAATAAAGTGGTCGCGGACACTTACATCCTAAACTCTAAACCCAGGGAGGGAATGAAGGGCCTCAGGGAGACAGAAGAAACATCTTTCAGCAGGAAAGAATGCTCAAGATTGCTCGATGCTTCTTCTTCAGCTTACACAGCTCTTTCCAAGGAATGCTCTCATCAGACTTTCCAGAGGCCTCGCCGCCAAACTTGTCCTGCAAGGTCCGAATGAAGTCCTCGGCGCGTTCTTGAAGTCCTGCTGCACGGGCCTGTTCCCTGATATGGGGGATTAGCACACGGAGCAGCTCTTGTTCTGCCAGGCGTTGAACTCGGGCCCTTTGCATCTGGTCAAGTTTCGGCATCGGAGAGTGCTGGCCGTGGTGGCAGAACTGGCACAGAGCGCCCTGCTTGCAGATGCTTCCCTTCAGCAAGTACACGCAAGGACGGTGGCACAGCACGGGGTGACCCAAACTCCCAAAGCTCTTGGCAGACTCGGAAACCGCTTCGGGCGGAGGGAAATCTGTCAAGATAGCTCTTAATGAGCTGTCCGATCGGAGACGGGTCATCCTGGCCTCAGATGATCTACCTGACGGCTTGGGACGTTAAACGCTGCATCGAGGCGACATGTCCGCCAGTCACAGATCCAAGCAGGGTTCGTTCGGCGTCTACCAAAACCCAGACTCTCGGCAAGGCAAGATGAAACACTAGTTCCTAGCTCACTCGACTGCATCTGCGGATACGGCAAGCCACCCGTGGGCTTTCGTCCCACAGTGTCAGCGGCCGTGCACGGCCGATCAGCGCGTCCTCTAGTCGGCGCCTTGGGATGACGGATCTGAGTCTAGGCAAGTCACGGCACCTGCATGGTCCACGTGGCTCTCAGCTGCCACGGCGCTGTTGAGCAGTCAGCGACTCCAGGAGGTCTACCTTGCGGTCCTCCGCCACAAGCTGGCCTGCCCAAAGGCAGAATGCCCACGTCAACCTTGCAACGCGGGGAATGTCAAACCACAATGTGGCCTGAAAGGATCTGGTAGCTCTCGGCAGTGAGAAGGACAGTCCTGAATTCGCGTGCTGGGCACTCCGAAAGGCGCAGATGCAGGAGACGCGCCGGGGACTTCGGCCCTCTGAATCTGCTAGCCAGTGTCACACCGGTTGTGTGCTTCACGATGCGTGAGAAGTCCATGCACTGTCCTTGGACGTGGAACTCTTCTGAAAGCAGACACACATGCTCCGCCAAACTCCTCCCTCCACCGTTCTGGACTTCACTTTCCTCAGAAAGCCCGAACCTCAACAATTCGGAAACTCCCAGCCCAGACCCGAAAGAAAAACGGTTCCATTCAGTTTCAGCCAAGAGGGCGGAGGAGCCTCAAGTCGTCGATGTCCTGGTCGGCTTATAGAGTTCGCTGTTGAACTTGCAAGTCAAAAGGGGCTTCGGGATGTGGAGCAGCCTTGCCCACCGCACCACACCAACTCACCAAGCTCGTAACCAAAGGCAAGAGCACGAACTTCCAGATCCCTAGGCCCAACCTTGGCCATGGTTGCAAGCGAAGAGATGTCGACTGTGACGGTAGAGCCGTCCTGTCACAAACTGAAAACAAGGTTCGAGTTCGATGTTGCACACATGTCCACCGACATGGAAGGAACGCATCCATCAGGCCTGGTTCAGGCAACGGTGATTCATCAGCTTCGCAAAGAGCTCCACCAGAAACTGAAGCCCACGCCCTGGGATGGTTCTTCTCCCCCTTCTTCCATTGGGCCGTTGGGCTAGATTGAGGCGAACCTTCCCCACGCTAGTGCAGACCCACGTGTTGTAGGGCACCACTGGCGAAAGAGAGTTCAATCGAACCTGCAAAAAGCGCATGGAAAGATTGCAGGGCAGAGCGCGCAAGCCGAGGCCCTGGTTGGCCATGGCGTTGGTCAAGAAGAGAGGCAGATACTGGAAGATGAAAGCCTGGAGCTGTCGGGATGTTAAGGTTTGGAGTTTACAAGTAGGGTCTAGAAAGACAGGGTCCACTCACATGCATCCCTTCATGCATGATTTACCTACATCCAAACAAGGCATACATACACATGCACGAGCAAAGACAGAAAGAGAGCAAGAGAGAGAGACCGGATTCGGCAATGAAACATGCGACTGCGATGGGTAAAAAGAGTCTCTAGATGCGTACCCATGTGCAAAATCATTGTCCAATGTATTTTGTGTTTGGGCCTTCGTATTTGCAATAAGAAGAGGCTTGTGCGTGTGCGAGTTAAATGGAAGCTGTAAAGCCTGCTGTTCAGCAAGTTGCCCAGGCTGTATGTATATGCATATATACATATATACATACATCTTTCTTTCATACGCTGCAGAGGAAGTCCGCTTGGCGAGGCTGTTATGACAGGGAGCCACCCCGGCTGCTGTGAGCCATGTGCATTTGCACACGTCGGTGAGAAACGTGCTAGCAGCCGTAGCGATGATCGGGACCTGCCACGAATGGCCCATAACGTTCCGAGCATGCTAAGACTGCTGAGTGCGGCAGTAGAAGTAGAGATAGCCCGTGGTCAATGCTGGTAGCGGCAACTCGGTGAGAGTGGTCGGCTCTTTTGAATCGTCGCATAGCCAGAAAGTGGGCTCCGATTCAGGAGGGTAAGTGCAAAGGAGCGCACGGTAATGACCGGATGCTGCATCGGGACCCTCGTGCATAATGATTGCAATCAGCTGATATTCGCAGTGTCTCACATGAAGGGCGGAATTATGCGGAGTGGGTCGATGCTGAAAGCAGGGTAGCAAGATGCGAGGATCGGGCAGCACACTCGTTGCATCCTTTGCACCGATAGCATCAGGGCTGAACCTATTGACCTGCAAAACTAAAAGGCTCGGCTCACGTTCGAGGGCAGTGACTCCAACCGCAGCTTGGACCTTCCATGCATGAATAAGCCGTTGGATGGTAACTCTGCCACTAGGGCCTGTATCGCACTGAGAGGGTGGCGTTGCAAGGAGCATAGGCCATGCTTCCCCACAGTCACGCACCTGGCAGCGAAGAGGGTTGCAGTCGGCAAGAAGAAGCCTGTTCTGCCACCTGCCCAAGAGCAGGTCCGGAATGACGAACCTGCGACAGAAGGTGAGATATTCCGCAACATCATGTTGGGAGTGTGGCCGGGCCCACCCGGAATGCAAGATGGCCCATTGGAGAAGAGACCAGAGATCAGGGACAGGCGCCTGTGTAGTCATTCTCCGCATGACTGAATGCATGGCCGCGGACCAGATCACCTGAGGATGAGCCGGTGCTGAGCAGAGCAACTGATTGGCCCAGTGGAGACAACACAGCATCGAATTAGCATAGCAGTGGTTGGAGGCATTGCGTATACGCAGCAGTTGGGGTGAGAGGGAGAACAGGCACTCTGAGTGAAGGGCCCTTGCAGACGGCGAGCAAGTTCCGTCGCCAGCGCGGAGCGACCCATTTTCTCCGGGCGCAGGGACCCTCCCACCAACTGCCAAATCGCTGAATTGGCCAGCGAGCGGAGGCTCAGATATAGCTCGGCCGCTTCCGGCGATCTGTGACCCACCTGAAGCAGGAAGGGCACGGTGGGGCCCTGGAGAGGCCCGCTGAGCCGTTGGGTGGAGTGGAAGCGCATGATGGCCAGGGGACAAAGGCACTGCTTCTGTAAGACCTGCAGCTTCTCGAGCATCGTTGAGACCGGAAGGGGCTGCAGATCCTGCCGAGGCGCCAGAGTCTTGGTCTCCTGGTTGTAGCTTAGAAAAGGCACCTGTAGCTCCGCGTCGCCGTCCCGTGGAAGGAACACCTGGAGGGTGGTGGCCGTCTTCAGCTGCTCGTCGTTCTGCACGGTATCCTTGATGCGCTTCACCAGAGCCTCCAACAGGGTATGAAACAGGAAGGTTCTGAGAGGGAGAGCAATCTCGTCCATCTTTTCCTGCTTCTGCTCCTTGAGGGCATTCCAGTGCTGAGACTTCTGCACGAAGAGAGGGATCAGGGAGAGAGCACTCTCTCGCTTGAAGAACATGACAAAGCCGTTTTGGGTCTTGTCGATGCCCATTTGATCCTCGTGCCGAAGAAGGAGCTTGCCCAGAAGCCACATCATGCCCTCCGGCGCCCCGGCCTCTGTCTCCGCCGAGCGGCGGAAGGGCTGTCTGCGAGGACCACTGGCCTTTGGCTGATTGCCCTTGCCTCTCCCGCCCCTGCCGTAGCCACCTTTGGAGTCCGGTCTGGAGTACTTCGCGTCGCGCTCCCTCTCTGGCTCCTCCGTTTGGTCCATCTCCGAACGCTTGTTGGCCGTGTCCTGAACCATCGCCTTCTTGTCCTCTCCCCAGCATTGGAGGAGCAACAGCTCGGCCTGAGCCTCCCGTTGTTGTGTCTCCTGCAGGGAGAGGCCGCTGCCCAGGGCAAGAGAGGAGGCCAAGCTCATGGCGAATGAGGATGCGCAAAGTGATGGTTTGTTGTAGAACAGGGCAGGCGACAGCGTGCTGGGTCTTAAACGTCACAGCGAGTCTGCACCAGCTACAAGGGGAGCGGGCGGCAGCCGTCCTTGCTGTAAGCCAATCAGCTCTCATTGACTCTTGCAGGGCCGGGAGCGGATGCTGCCTCTTCAGATGCCGAAAAATGTCCTGTGTGCGAGTGAACCATTGATGACAAACAGGGCAGTGCCGCAGCCCATGAGCAGAGTGCAGGGAGCGGAGGTAGTGTGCCAGAGGTTGCCAATCCTCCTGACCGGCCAGTGTTCGGATGTCAGATCTTTGAAGGAGCGGCAACTGATGAGAGGGCACCTCAACGGGAGGCGGAGTGTCCACCCCAACTGGCGGGACCAGGTCGGAGGTTTGAGGCGTCGCATCAGGGACTGATTCAGCAACAAGGACTGAGGAGGAGGCCGCAGGGGCTGCTGGGTCCTTCACGAGGGATCCATCATGAGCCTGAGCAGGGCAGGAGTTGGTGTAGTGATGGTTCAGAAAAGGCGGCCATGCAGCAAACTGGCGATCACAGAGAAGACAGTGGGGCATGCCATCCTTAGCGAACTGCATGAACCTGGCACGAAGCTCCTTCTGCGAGGGCGGAATAGCAGGAGAAGGGGTAGACACAACAGCAGCCGCGGGGGGAGCGGCAGCTTCCCGGCGAACGGATGTAGTGTGTAAAGTCGAGGCAGAAGGGGTCTCTGGGTCAACCGGAGAGGGAACATCCGGGGCAAGCTTCCCATGGGATTTGGTGCAGTGGGTGCGAAGGGCAATTAAGGTGGGAAAAGTCTGCGGGCAGTGTGGGCAGGTGTAGGTGCGCGCAATGACACCCGATACGTCGACGAGGCCACAACGAGACATCTTCTCCGGTGACTGGGTAGGCGACAGCCGATCAGTACGAGGGTCAGGCGTAAAGGAGGCCGGGAGGGCAGAGCGCCAACGTTGGCGTTCTGGAGTGTCAAAGGCCTCAATACTGAGAGAAGGCCGGCTATGTCTAGACTGCATTTGGGCAGCCATCTGATCAACAGGGTCCAGAAAGTGAAATCTAGCATAGAGCGCGGCCGTCTTTTCGTGAGTGATCCAGCTTGGAGACTTGAGGACAAGACGGATCTGCTTGGCCACAACCTGCCGGATAATATCAGGTCCCCGAGGGGGAAGACCAGTGCTCGTGAGGCCGTACCTGAGAGTAGAGAAGACACAGGCCGTCCACAGCTGCAGGCGCTGCTGGGGCACGATATGCTTGGATCTCAAAAGTGAGAAGAGGCGGCTGAAATTGGCCCAACTCTGTTTGATTCTGGCCTGCAGAGACAACTTCTCAAAGCAATCATAGCTGAGAACAATGCCCAGGTAGGGATGCTGTTTGCGAAAGGGTAGATCCAGCGGGCCTGCCAGACAGGGCACACGTAGACAGGGGCCTTTGTCTTTGGAGCGCTGCAGATAAGGGCGCAGTAGCCTGGATTTGGCAGGGCCACGGAGACCGTCCAGGATGACTGTTTTGGAGTCACTCACTGACATACCGAGAGAGGTAAGGGTGTCAATAATGAAAGCGATATCCTTCAAAATGCAAAGGATGTTTTCCGGCTGATGAACCTGCCATTGTGCAAGGATATCATCAGAGAAGGCCGTCAGACAGGAGAGCGGTATCCTATCGCTCAGGAGGTGGAGAGTATAACAGATGAAGATGCTCCACAAGGCAGGAGACAAGCTGCACCCTTGGCGCACACCTGAGTGAAGCTCAACTTCAACAGTGTGTGACTTATGCGTAATGTTGAGTGTGGCTTGGTAGTGGATGTGAAGGATGAGATCAATCAAAGCAGGTTCCACAGCCGCCCAGGTGAGTGCTCTATGCAAGACGTCTCGTGGCAAGCAATCAAACGCACGAGAGAGATCTAGAGAAAGTGTGATTCCCCCTTTGCACTTCCCGACAGTGTGCCCCTGACGACGACGGTGAATGCTATACTTCTGCGCTTCGAGTACAGCGCGTACCGCCGCGCAATGGGAGCATGCGCGTTCTATGGAGTCTTCCACAGAGCGACCCCCAATGTATGCAAACTGGGGAAGACAAGTGGCGAGATGCTGTACGGTAGGGCGCAGCAGTTCCGCCGCCATTTTCGCCAAGCATTTCGACACCGGGTGCAGGAGAGCGATGGGCCTGAGATTCTCAGGACACTTCGGAGGCTTCGTCGGCTTGGCGAGGAGACACAGTGAGGATTGAGGCCATCGCCCCGGCATGGGCGCCGACATGTTTGCCAGCCACTGCGAGAGCACCGGGTGAATCGTGGTGGCGACCTCAGTGGCAGCGAGTGCCCAAAGTGGAGCCGGCGCCAGCCATGAGGGCAGGGCTTTGCCAGTGGGCAGCTGGGCAATGGCAGTGGTGAGCTCGTCAAGTTCAAAGGGTGGGAAAGTCTGACCAGGAGGAAGGGACTCGGGTGAGGATGAGCGATAAAGACCACGAAAATAGTCTTGCAGAGCTTGGGCTTCCTGGAGCGTCGTAAGAGGGTTGCCCTGATTGTCACGGAACAGGATGGGTTTGCGAGCGGTCTTGGGGGCAAGGCGCTTGACCACCTGGTAGACGGCCGTGAGACCCTTCTGGGCAGCCTGCTCCGCCTCTTGCAGAATCTGTTGAATCTTGAGCTGCCTGTTTTGAGCACACAGCGACTTGAGGGCCTTGGTAGCCTCCGTCAGCTCAGCAGCCTTGGGCCAGACCTGAGCAGTGGAGAGATCCTGCTGTCTCATGAAGTCGCGACGTTCGCGGCGTAGCCGCCAGAGGTGGAGAATCAACTGGGTCTTTGGGCTGTGATTCTGAGTTGTCGGAGAAGGGGACGGTGCCGTGAGCGTCCAGGCCTGCAGGAGGCAGGCCGAGATATCATCCGGTCCTGCTCTGGCTATCAGGAGTCGAGCCTGATTCTGAAAGCGAGCGGCAAGGGATGGATCAATGCGCAAAGCCGTCCTGATGGAGGCAAGGGTCACAGAGGGAGCACAAGGTTTCTGGGCTCTTTTGGGCAGGGCAGGCCTGAGGATGGAGCCCAGCACAGGCAGGTGCCGAAGCCCACTGGGTTCGACAAAGGGAAGCCAGGTCGGACCAGTGCGCCTAGCAATGCCGTCAGCGGCAATGCGACGCGTAAGCGCAAAATCGATTTGCGTGCCTCTGTTGCCTACAGCAGGCAGGAAGGTTTGTGCATGAGAGCCCGCGCGTCCGAAGGTGTTGAGGGCCTGTAGCGAAAACGTGCGGGTCAGCTGCTGAAACTCCTGTTGATCTGGGGGAGGGCGCCCGAGACGAGTGCGCACTCCCTGCCCAACGAACGGCAAATCAGGTAAAAGGTCAGTGTTCATGTCTCCTAGCACTAATACCGAATTCCGACCTGGGAACCGTGCCAGTGTGTGATGTAGCTTGGTCCACAGTATGGATCGCTTGACCAAAGCCTGTTCCAGACCAGCGGCACCCGGGAGTGCCTTTGTGCTAGAGTAGAGGTGCTGATAAGCAATGACGACATCAAGGGAAGGGTCCCCTTCCACGCGCAGGTGAACCAGCCTGCCATCGATGATGGAAGTGAACTGGATACGGTCCTGCTGGAAAAGTCGAAGGTTGACAAGCACCAGAATGCCAGAGACACGATCCTTGCATGGGGAGGCAAGAGCTTGCCAGCCTTCCATTTTGAAGGTCAGATCCGACGCCCAGTGCGTTTCCTGGATAGCAGCAAGAGCCAGATGCTGCCCTTCGGTTCGTAGCCAAAGAGCAATCTGCTGATAACGGTCACTAGAGAGCCCACCAGCATTCCAACTCAAGAAATGAAAACGTGGCGGCTCACGCGGCCTGGGGCCGGACTGAGACCGCACGGCACGAGTCGGCCTCGTGAGAAAGGAGCCGTCACTATCGATACGTTGGCCACGATACATTGCACTACCGCAGCGGTCTGCCCTCGAGAGGGCCCTTTGGAGAGCACGTTTCCGAATGGAGGAGGCAAAAGAGAAGCGAGAGAGTCGAGGGAGAGAAGCGACAAAGGAGTCGCACGGCTTTGCCTGAGGGATGAGAAAAGAGCGTTCATCTTGAACGGCTTCAGGAGGATGGCGACTGCCAGTGCCTCCAACCCTCGGCTCAGGGACTTGCATAGCGGCGCAAAGGTGGGGTAGTGCCAAGAGGGTGTAAAGGCGAAGACCACGAGGAGGCACCCGATATACAACGTCCCGCCCGGACTTGGGACCGGGCGCAGCAGTACACAAAGGGAGGGAATGGTGTTCTGAGGGTTCAAGAAAGCGCATGATAGTCGCTAGGTTGTGCGCGTATAGATGCCAGTGAACATCGCGGATGTTGTTCAGGCGGTAGAGCCATATCCTCAAAAGCGACATGCAGCTGCGCCTGCAGGGGTGCCGAAGTCGGGCGCGAGATTTGCGGGACCCGCGGAACCTGCGGCCGCATGTGGAACGCAGGCGGGCACATCTGAGACGAAGACCGAAGCATAGACGGGAGGCTGGGCGGCGGGCAGGTGGCAGAGGCCATGTGATGCAGCCTGCTCGGCTCACTTGCACATAGGTAGGCTGACGAGAGGTGGCGGACAGACGGCAGACGCAAGCTCTGCAAAGCAACAATTTTGGCCACAGAGCGGCGGCAGTAATAGAGCTCGAGACCGACTCCCGTGGGGAGCCTGGGCTAAAAATCGTCGCCTTCGGCCGCCAAGGTGCTGTGGGACAGCGTGCCCCTGAGCGGCTGGAGCCGAGGTGAGGACCCTTCAAAAGACCTTGTGGGGGTGCATATGAAAAGGAGCTAGGCATCACTGTCGCGACGATAGCGTGGGCTCCTGCTGCGCTGGAAACGGACGCCCAAAGCATGGAGAGCAGCCTTGGCTTCTTCGTGTGCACGCTCTGAGCGTTGGAGACTCGCTGCCCAACGCTCGATCGTCTGTTGGAGCATCTCCAGGCACCGGCCTTCTGGGTTAGAGGACATGGTGGCGGCCATGGAGGATGGCATTGAGGGTCTAGGATCTGGCGGAGCCTCGCGCGTAGGGCCGAAGAGTAGACGCAGCTCTGACTCAGGCGTAGGATCTCTAATGGCATTATTGCAATTGGGACCATCCAACGACCCTGCAGAAGGTGGGGCGGTTGCCAGGGAAGAGCCCTCCAGGGTATTCTGCTGAGGTCTGGGCCGCCGCTCCACCCCAGGCGGCGGTGAGTCAGGCCTTGAGGTGATCGGCGTAACCGGGGCAGATGTCTGCTCGGCCGGGGCGCATGTCCCTGTAGAGGCCATGGGGGGAGAGGGTGCACGAGGCAGGGCGGAAGATCCCGAGCAGGATTGCTGCAAGAGTCGCACGCCCATGCAAAAGAGACAGGCAGGCGGAACAGCCAGACGCGGCACATGCAAGAGATGAGACGAGCCGAGGGCCGAGCAGTAGAACACCGAGTGGTAAGCGGAGCTGCGACCTGGGCTGAGCAGCAAAGGGTATGCGCAACACTACGCGGTGACAGAGCAGAAGGAGGCGGATCCGATGGCTCAGCAGTATATGCACCCGCTCGCACTGGGTCTGAGTCTGGCTGGGCAGCGGTGCTGCCCTCCGACTGTACAAACCAGGGGCTTCGCCGCTTAGGTCTGGCATCAGGGTCCGGGATGTGCGCGGAGTCATGTAGATAGGAATCAAAAGCGCCCGGCTCTGGTCCAGCAACTCGAGAGGATGCCCGGGATGACTGCTTCCTCGTCTTGGCCCCGGCCTGTGGCAACGCAGACCTGGCCTTGATCTTCCCTCGGTGACGGTCCTTCACACGGCCGGAACCGAAGGGCTTCCGCTTGGCACGCCTTTGAGACGATATGGCCCGATCGACTTCCGGGGGCTGAGCTCGCAGGGGAAGCTCCGGAGGCATCTCAGGAGAGTCCACCGTCTCGACGGACTCGGAGAGAGGTGCTGGAGAGTCAGCTTCTCGAGAAGTAGAGCCTGTATGAGCGCACCAGGTCCAGAGGCTGTGCTAGGTGAGGCCGCAGTAGTCGGGGCCGTTGCCAGAGTAGCGTCAGTGCCGGCCTCGATGGGGAGCGGCATCAGGGTTGCCTGGGCACCAGTGCCAGGATCCGCGGACTCGGCAAGCGGCGTCTCCAAGTCTATGCAAGGACCAGGCTGGGCTTGTTTGCGCTTGACCTTCTTGGCGCATTCCAGGTGGATGGACCCAGCATGAATTTCCAAGGTCCCTTCGTCGTCGGAGAGGAGAACGGGCGGCCCAGGGCTGCTGGATGCCGCAGCCGCAGCGGTCGAACCTGGCGGTATGTCATCATCCACCACCTGCAGCAGCACGTTCGGTCTCTTCTTCGGCTGGGGCTCCAGCCTCTGGCGCGAGTCAGTAGAGGTCCTGTCAGCAGAGGAGGCAGGCAAGACAGTCGGCGGCTCAGAGCTGGGGGTCGCGTGGTAGCGTTTGCCACGCAAGGACCTGATCAGGTGTTTTAAGAACACCGTGGTCGGAGGCGGCCCAGTGCGCCAGCGGAGATAGCGCAAGAAAGCAACCTCTTCCGGCTCAAGCCCATCACGAGTAGGATCAAAGTCCAAGCAGTGGCTGGGCACTCTAGTACCAGCAGCTATCGCAGAGCGGATGGTGCCAGCCACCTGCTCGATGGGGCCCTCGGTCGTCGCCCCTGTAGAGCGCTGGGCCGGCCGCGGCCGCAGGTGCTGCCTTGCTTGGCGCTTTTGCTGTCTCAGGGCCATCAGAGCACCGTGTCCGGCAGGGGCGCAGCGCACCCTCAAGGAGAAACTGAGCCGATGCCGTGGTGGGCACGTACATGCGGCACGGGTAGCCCAAGGCACAGAACGGTAGAGCTTGGAGCATGATAAACAACAGATCGGCAGTGCATCAGATGGCTGGGGCCGTGACCACGGCCAGTGGAGCGCCATGCATGTGGCAAGCTTTGGCTGGCGGCCTAGGAGAGGAGAGATGCCCACGTTGGGGCGGGACCAGGCAGCAGTGAGCGGGGCAAGGGCCCAAGGCCGAGGCCGAGAGTAAGGCTTCAGTTGACGAGGCCGGCACCACAGTGGCCGAAGAGACAGCGACCTGAGCAGGGACAGCTTAGCAGTAGCGCCGGGGAAAGGGTCAGTGCAGAAGGGCATGCGTGGACGCAGAAAGACCGTACTCCGGAATTTTGCTCGACATGGCTGCTGTGCACGTCGGTGCCCTGGAAGAGAGGAATCGCCTCGGAAAGTCTCAGAGCCCACGACCAGCCGGAGGCGGCGGATGCGAAGTCGCCGGTGCGCTGCAGGTGCGGATGGACACCACGTACTGTACGCCTGTCGGCGGCACTGGGACCGTGATGACACTGTTGGCCGGCACGATGTTGAACGACTGTGCAGTGCTCGGAGCGGAGGGAGCCGAGGGAGCCAGCGTTGCAGCGGGGCCAGCACACGGCAGCGCCGGTGCCGGCGGCATGGCGGTGCTCCCCGTCGTTGTTGTTGTAGTTGCAACAGTCGCTGGAGTGGGAGGCGGAGGTCCACTAGGTCGGGTCGTCGAAGGAGCGCTGGGTGCCATAGGCGTAGTCGACGTCGACGGTGGCCGTGCCGGAGGCGGTCCTCTGGTTGCTCGGTATGCGGCCGGCAAATTGACAGGGGTAGGCGGCGGAGGTTTAGGGGAGGAGACCGCCGTGGCCGGACCGTTGGTGGTCCTCTACCGCCTCCTGTACCGCTTCCTCGCCCTCTGCCACGGGGAACATCTGCACTGGCAGTCGCAGCTTCACCTGGTGGGGTCTCAGTGCTCTCGGAACTTGAGACTGGCGGCGAATGATGACGCCGTCGTTTCTTGGGCGCCATTGAGCTCCGCTGCTGTGCTGGCCAGGGACTATCAGCAGGATGCTCGGAGCCCAGTGCTGCAAGAGGTGCAGGGAATGCTCAAGCTGCACAGAAGACGGCAGGTACAAGTGCAAGGAAAGGCGAGAAGCATAGGCAACATAAGGAGCAGGCCACCGGCCAGCACTCATCCAGGTGGATGTCAGGCACGGCCTGAGAGAGAAGTTGTCAGGCAGGTGGTGGTGCTGACTGGCACAGGGTGATAAGGATGGCACGCTCGGCGAGGTAGCCTCGAACCTGAGCCAGGGGGCGGACAGCTGTTCGGTGAGGGGACACTGAGCTTCCGGCGAGGGGACCTCCAGCCAGGTAGGACGCAAGAGCCCCAAGGGCCAGACCCAAGGCGAGGAGGCCTCGAACCTTGGTCTGCCAGGCAGGGGCACAGTCTGCAGGGTGGTTCGGTTGAGGCACCGGCCCGGCGCGAGTGGCTGAGCAGGTGGATCACAGACTACGGTACGATAGACATGCAAGGAAACGGCTGCATTGACCAGTCGCCTAGCATGCAAATGTAAAACCGCTGGCGAACAGCTTGGCAGTGCACTGACGAAGCAGGAGATCCTAATAGTACCCTCAAGCGCCCAGGTCAGTATCTCACTCCCAGAGTGAGACCTAATCCATAGTGTCCAGGAATGAAGCGCTGGTGGCCGACCTGTAGCCGAAGCAAAGGAGGAAGCATTTCCGACAGTTGGCCTGCGAGGCCCTTGCCTGTTTGGGAACGCAAAGGGACTGGGGTCCGTATCCGAAGTTAAGCCTGTCTCGCGCGCTGCTTGCACAGATAGCGTATCAAGATACTGCCGCTGCCGAAACATAGTGGCTGCGATGGTTGGCAGCTTGATCCTGCGACACTGGTACAGCTGATACTGGTAGCCTGACAGAGCGGCAGTGGTGCAGCCAACAAGGCCTGCATTCTGAGACGCCCTTGACCTTGGCATGGTCTGAAGCAGCAAGCCTGAGCGGTCAGACGGCTCGCCTGATGACCTTGCGGGCAGTACAGCGCCTGTGTGGTTTTCCTGACCAAGTGTAGCCATCCACGAACCTGTCAGTTGGGGGTAGCTCCACCAGGGCGGGGTCAAGACCGGAGAGCACAGGGCACTGACTGTGACATCTGCAAAGATCCTGTGCACAGCAGAGATACCAGTTGCCAATACGAGTAAAGGCACCCACCGAGACCAGCCTGAGGTCTGCGGAGCCGGGATTTTATTGGCAGCGCTCGTTTTCAGGTTGGGACCAGGATGCACAGAGGAAGCCATGGCAAGGCCCTGAAATCGAAGGGGCAGGAGAACCAGCCCACCCCACAAGAAGGGGACCGCGCCGAGGGGCAAGAACCCGAACCCAAAGAACACCAAACCCAACGCAAGGGGGCACCCTGCTGCTGAGCCTTATATACATACATACATATATACATACATACATACATACATATACATATATATATATATATCCGCCGACCCCTGCGGGCGGCGCCCGTGATATCCCGAGAGGTGTCCGCACCCACATGCACCGCTTCCACCGCCTCCACCGCTCTGTTCAAAGAGTCTTTCACCGCTGTATTTGTAGGTGTTTAAAGAGTATTTAAAGGCTGCCAATGTGTGCCCGGACCTCTCCGCGCCCCCACTGCCCCCACCGCCCCCACCGCCCACACCGCCCTCACCGCCCTCACCACCCCCACCACCTTCATCCACCGCCACCACCCCCACCATCTCCATTACTGCCACGCCTGCACTGTGCCTCCACCGCTTTCACCGTTCCCACCGTCTCCACCGCTCTCACCGCCCGCTGTATTTGTAGGTGTTTAAAGAGTAAAGAGTATTTAAAGGCTGCCAATGTGTGCCCGGACCCCCCCGCGCCCACACCGCCCCCACCGCCCCCACCGCCCACACCGCCCACACCGCCCACACCGCCCCCACCACCCACACCGCCCTCACCGCCCTCACCAACCACACCACCTTCATCCCCCTCCACCGCTTTCACCGTTCCCACCGTCTCCACCGCTCTCACCGCCCGCTGTATTTGTAGGTGTTTAAAGAGTAAAGAGTATTTAAAGCCTGCCGATGTGTGCCCGGACCCCCCCGCACCCCCACCGCCCACACCGCCCACACCGCCCACACCGCCCCCACCGCCCACACCGCCCTCACCGCCCTCACCACCCCCACCACCTTCATCCCCCTCCACCGCTTTCACCGTTCCCACCGTCTCCACCGCTCTCACCGCCCGCTGTATTTGTAGGTGTTTAAAGAGTAAAGAGTATTTAAAGGCTGCCAATGTGTGCCCGGACCCCCCCGCGCCCCCACCGCCCACACCGCCCCCACCGCCCTCACCGCCCTCACCACCCCCACCACCTTCATCCACCGCCACCACCCCCACCATCTCCATTACTGCCACGCCTGCACTGTGCCTCCACCGCTTTCACTGTTCCCACCGTCTCCACCGCTCCCACCGCCCGCTGTATTTGTAGGTGTTTAAAGAGTAAAGAGTATTTAAAGGCTGCCAACGTGTGCCCGGACCCCCCCGCGCCCCCACCGCCCACACCGCCCCCACCGCCCACACCGCCCTCACCGGCCTCACCACCCCCACCACCTTCATCCACCGCCACCACCCCCACCATGTCCATTACTGCCACGCAACGCTCTCACCGCCCGCTGTATTTGTAGGTGTTTAAAGAGTAAACAGTATTTAAAGGCTGCCAATGTGTGCCCGGACCCCCCCGCGCCCCCACCGTCCACACCGCCCCCACCGCCCACACCGCCCACACCGCCCTCACCGCCCTCACCACCCCCAACCACCTTCATCCACCGCCACCACCCCCACCATCTCCATTATACTGCCACACCTACACTGTGCCTCCACCGCTTTCACCGTTCCCACCGTCTCCACCGCTCTCACCGCCCGCTGTATTTGTAGGTGTTTAAAGAGTAAAGAGTATTTAAAAGGCTGCCAATGTGTGCCCGGACCCCCCCGCGCCCCCACCGCCCACACCGCCCCCACCGCCCACACCGCCCTCACCGCCCTCACCGCCCCCACCACCTTCATCCACCGCCACCACCCCCACCATCTCCATTACTGCCACGCCTGCACTGTGCCTCCACCGCTTTCACCGTTCCCACCGTCTCCATGCACCGCTCTCACCGCCTGAGCATTAAAGGCTGCCAATGTGTGCCCGGACCCCCCCGCGCCCACACCGCCCTCACCGGCCTCACCACCCCCACCACCTTCATCCACCGCCACCACCCATTACTGCCACGCCTGCACTGTGCCTCCACCGCTTTCACCGTTCCCACCGTCTTCACCGCTCTCACCGCCCGCTGTTTAAAGAGTTTAAAGGCTGCCAATGTGTGCCCGGATCCCCCCGCGCCACCACCCCCACCATCTCCATTACTGCCACGCCTGCACCGCCCACACCGCCCACGCCCCACCGCCCACACCGCCCCCGCCGCCCACACCGCCCTCACCGCCCTCACCACCCCCACCACCTTCATCCACCACCACCTTCATCCACCGCCACCACCGTTTTCACTACCCCCACCATCTCCCGGCCTTGCGATGCCCCGCGATTTTTTTGTCATACCACCCCATGGCTTCCGTATATACTACTGTACTACGACGACCGACCCCCCCCTCAATAATCAATCCCCCCCACCCCGGGCGCCAAATCAATCAAGGGGGTGGGGGGAGAGGGGGGGTTTATTAATAGGAGGTTGACATTAACCATAACGAACACAGCCTTCCTGCAAAACGTGGTTTTGTGCGGATGCCTTTTGCCTCTGAGTCACAAGGTTGCTGAAACATGCGCACACAATGTCCGAGAGCTGAGCACTGCGTCAGTCCGAATACTTCGCCGCATCAGTCATGTGCTCATGCTACTCCTGCCAGTTACAAGACTTGCAGGCCCTATCTTATTATTTCATGTCACTTCCTCCGTATCAGGGTTGGCTGCTTTCAACACCTGCTGCCTTCCTTGGATGGTCACCTCTCTTCTTTTGGGGTCGGCGGCAGTGGCGGCAGCCCATAAATCGGGCAGCGCTTCGCTGCCCTGTATGGACTGAGCTATGGCTCAGACGAATGAGCTTCGTCTGCGAAGCAGAAGCCACGACCGACAGTGCCGCCGACCCGCCCCGGACCCCGCATCATCGGACCCTCGTTTCTCCCTCGGGCCGCGCGGGGCCTGGCCCGAAGGCGTCTCGGAACGCGCACGCGTTTTGTAGCCATTCCCCGCAGTGTGGCGGGTTTCGGGGCCGCCGTGGACGACCCCAGGCCGGCGAGCATCATGAGCCCTCGGGCGCCGGCAACCGGCGCCGGCGGCGCGACATGGGCGCGAAGTCATAACTCCCAAGTTTTTGAGTGGGTTGCGGAAGCCGCCAAAGGGCGCGCATCATGAGCATCAGCGGGGTCCGGCGGACGCGGGGTGCGGGCTACATGCACGGCCGACGGGGGCTGAGAGCCTACGATCACCCACAAGTTGCGCACTTCGGGCCTACGTTGCACTTATCTATATACCGCGGGTTTCTGACAACAGCTCGCGCTGCCCGCACCTGGGCGCAGCCCCTAAATCGGGCAGCGCTTCGCTGCCCTGTATGGACTGAGCTATGGCTCAGACGAATGGGCTTGTCTTGCGAAGCAAAAGCCACGACGGGTTGTGCCGCCGACCCGCCGCCGACCCCGCATCATCGGACCTCCGTTTCTCCATAGGGCCGCGCAGGCCCTGGCCCGGAGGCGTCTCGGAACGCGCACGCGCTTCGCAGCCATTCCCCACGGCATGGCGGGTTTCGGGGCCGCCGTGGACGACCCCAGGAGGCGAGCCGGCGAGCATCATGAGCACTCGGGCGCCCGCAACCGGCCCCGCGGCGCGAAGTGGGCGCGAAGTGATGATTTCCAAGTTTTTGCGTGGGTTGCGGAAGCCCCAAAAGGGCGCGCATCATCAGCATCAGCGGGGTCCGGCGGAGGGCGGATGCGGGCTACATGGAGGGCCGACGAGGGCTAAGAGCGTAAGATCACCCATAAGTTGTGCACTTCGGGCCTACGTCACACTTTTGTTCCGGTGTCGAGCTGTCGTTGTCTCGGCACCGTCTGGAAATTTTGACCGTGTCTTTCCCGTTCCCCCGCTACATCCGCTGACAACAACTCGCGCTGCCCGCACCTGGGCGCAGCCCCTAGAATATATAGATAGTTGAGAAGAGGGCTCACTGCTGGCAGAGACTGTTTTTGTTGCCGGTGACATGTTCGCAACAGCAACTGCACCATCATACGACTGTAGAGAAGCAACAGCTAAGAATGCTATACCCAAATCCGCGCAGTCGCTCGGAGACGCATGAGGCTAAATAGTGACATGATGCCACAGCCGACTCCTGGAATCACACATGCCCACTCCCAAAAAAAGGAAGCAGGGTCGACGGGGCAGGGTGGATGCAAGCACATATGTAGCGCTGAAAGCCTAAGCTTGCAAGATGATAGCATTATTATCCGTGACAGTGGCCCACGTAAGGACACACTTTTGTCGTATCGGCCGACCTCATTCCGCGTCGGAGTGTCCCTGCGTCAGCAATAACTCGGCCATCTACGAGCAGTTTCGATCTGTCCTGGTGGCAGCTTAGCTGTTTACTGAGTGGTCAGACAAGCAACCTAGGCCACGTAAACACAAAACACAAGTTGCCATCCTTTTTGAACAGATTCGCCATGATGGACCTTGTGGTGGGGGCAGCCTTGAAGGGGGATTTGGACTCCCCCCCCCTTACTCAATGTTGCGGGCCTTGATTGTGGGGCGGGCCCTGCGTAGCGATGCAGCGGGCCCCCCCCTCCCCCGCCTTTAACTTTTGAAACCGGACCAGACATGCAAGGTCCTGCGGGCAATTTTGACCTGGTTCTCCACTAGCTCAATAAATGGTAAACGACACCTCCCGCGCAAGCTCCGCAGAGTGACCTATACAGACATACACATGCACATGTACATGCACATGTGCATATACATCACACGCATATCGCACGTGTACACATGAAGAAGGGCCTGTGCTTTTGCAACATAGATTTGTACGTTGCGACTACATATAGATAGATAGGAGGTAGGTAGATAGGTAGACAGGTAGATAGACATACATATAGATATATTTGTATGCACACATACAGATGTAGAAATGCAGTACGACGCGGGCGCGCATGTACCGTGATGAAACGCATGCGCACTCATCCGGTCTCTGCGCAGCTGATAAGATCATTCTGTTCATCTGGGTCCAACGCTTGCCAAAAGGGGAGCTGTGCTAGGCTGCAAGGCATGAGGATTCCTGGAGATGTGCGCACCTTGTCATAGTGGCCGTCTGACAGGAAGATCTCCGAAAGAGCATCCTGGGAATAGAAAGATGTCGTCGCTCATGCTATTTTGCTTTAGAAGGCGTACAAGTCGCCATCTCCAACTCTCTCTATCTCAATCTCTCTCTGGGCTTGATTCGCCGACACTGAAGGCAGGAATCTTGGCTGAAGTCATATCTTTCGACCAGCGCAGGCATTCCCAAAAAAAAATCTATTGCCGAAGGCCAAGGCTCTCGGCTGAATTAGCACCTCAACGCGCCGAGTCTCTCTCTCCGAATCCGTCAGGTGATCCCAGTCACCTTGGGTGTGCAGGGCTGATCCTTGAATTACGCCTGTGACTTCTGCTTTGATGCAGACATGTAGAGGCTTTGGATAGTAATAGTGGAATCGTGCTAGGGCAGCTTGGGCGGCTAGGGACAAGGCCTGGCCCAATCAAGCCTTCCCTGTCCCAACCCACACCCTAAACAGAAGATGCAGATGGGGCGGGGCTTCTCTCAACGCACAAAACTTTTCAAAACTTGCAATCGAGGATGCTTGCGATAGCCCGGAGTGCCGCAGGCTCCACGGAGCCTCAAAGCTCTTCGAGGGCAACTATGTGAAGCTCTGCTGATCACAGCTTAGTTCCACCCCAGTTGCAGCCTGATCTGGGTTCCTTGTCGCAGGTTTCAGAATTGGGGCGAGGTAGCAACCTTTGCAAATGCAAGGTCGAAAGGCAACCTTTTCCTCCTTGAAATACCTTCCTGAACAATGACCCAAGGCACGTGTCAGGCATGCGAGTCTGGCTAGTACCAGATGGCTCGGCGTCTGCACATGAAGCTCCTGCAATCGCGGAACAAGCAGATTTTAGAGTTCGCCCGTCGACAACCACGACTGCAAAGCTCATCCACGAGGCTCCAGAGCTTCGGCACGGCTGGCAATATAGCTCCAGTACACTTTGTTCGGATCCACGCCCTGGGATGTGCTCAGTGGGGTCATACCGTCAGATTGCCCGCTCGTGACACATGACAACTTGCAGATCCAGGCGCCACGATGTCCTGCAGACACGCAAGGCCTGGCTGGGGCACAACGGAGCGAATCAACAGAGTTTGGTCGTGATGTGATGCTTTTCCGCGTGGGTCCCTTGAGTGTTGCTGGCATGATAGCGGGTCCCTGCCGTGAGGTATGCGCCCACTAGCTTCATACTGATAGCTCCACTCGATGCTAGCATTGATTGCTCAAGCCTTCCTGCTGACAACAGCAGGCCCTTCGGCATCCAAGCAAAGGTGCGGAATAAGCATGGAGAGCTCGGCTGGGCAACAAGACTTGCAAGCGAGACCAGTATGCTCAAGACAGCTACTTTGTCACGATGTACCAACGAAAAGGCACCTTGCACGCTCCATGCTCATGCTCTCAACCCTGCCCAGCGTTGCCTTTGAGCACGCTGCGCCCATTCAGCTCGCTGAGAAACATGGAGCCACGAAGTGTGATGTTACCCGTGACCTAAGACAGAACGGGCTATGTAGGGGCAGAGCACTTCACGACTTGAGGCTCAGAATGCGGGGCATCGGTTGTCCGTCCATGCACAGGGTCTCAGAGCGCTGACTGCTGCAAGCTGTAGGCCTTAAGAGGTTCTCTTTCAGGCTTCAGGCTTTGGGATGCCCCGTTTCCTGGGCCACCGCGCTCCACACAAGAGGCAGACTTGCACGAAAAGGAAGGTCCTCAGTGCCCAGGGCCAGACGAAATCCGCCGTGGTTTCAGACCGGGACTTGATGAATTGTTTCGTGGCGGCAGTTGAGGCATGAGAGTTGTGAATTCGGGCTTTCGATTCCAACACTAACTCCCCATGCTGTCGAACTGGCTTTGCATTCCAACCATGTGTCTGGAAGACCTCCTCGCCCTCTTCTTCCAGCGCGCCCTGGCACAGTGCAGCCCTTGGCCCTCGGCCTTCAACGAAATCCTTTACCTCCCCGTCCCAGGTGCCACAGTATGTCTTTGTATGTCTGCAAAACAACACCGACTGCAACTGCTGATATCTATGGAACAAATAACCCTTTTCCAACTGAGGGCCTGGAGCTGCCAGATGGAGTGAGGGTTGTTTTCCTGGGCCAGAAGTGGACCCTCAAGGAACTGCAGGTACGAGATAGGCTGGAATTGCACAGGTGGCTGCAATCATGCTGGCCGACGCTCGCAGGCCAGAATGACAAGAGCACACCACAAGCTTGTGTTGCAAGTACTCAAATTCGGCTGTCTCAGGAATGTTTTTGGGTCTCACCTCAAGATTTGATGCATGTTGCCAGACTTTCGGCCACGATTCTCTAATTAGGTCGCTCGCAAATGAAAAGGGTAGCAGGCTGGCAATGCAGATGTTGCCGACGGAGGAACCCCCTGCAGCATCTGAGCAAAGTTGAACGCCCCGAGCATCCGGACCTGCGCAGAATCCCACATCCCCTTCAAACTGCACGTCATGTCCAAATCTTCGTGCTGGCCTCTTGAGAAGTCACTTCAAGTTCGGTTAAACGGGAGTTGGAGATTGGAGGATGCCGAAGCATAGGCTTGAGCACCGAGTGGACTCGACATGCAGCAACGTCGCACCTGCTGAAACCCCGTGCCCAAAGTCCGAGGCTGAATTGCGACGCCAGCTTCCACTCAAGGTCTGCTATGGAGCCCTCCCCGGGCGCACCGTGGCTGAAAGGATGTCATACGCATCTCCGCGAAGGTTTGCAATGGACGGCAAGTAGGCATCCTTGTCTTTGCGCTCTCAAGGAGCACAGGACTCCGGAGTGCGAATGACTGCGGGAAAGGCAGGGATGGTCCCACTCGAAATGGCTAAAGCGCAGCAAAGTAGCGAGGTTTGTCGTGGCATAGGCCAAGACCTCTCCGCTAAAACTTCGAGGAAAAAACTCAAGTCAAGCGCTTGGCCAAAACATTGCCTGCTCCGGCGTGCGCCGCTCCGACGGCGGGCAGAGCTTTGCGAAGTCTGAATTCTTGCTGAGACCACCTTAGCCAAATAGCAAATTTCCAGACATTTCGAGGTTCTTGCCATGCACTCCTCGAAGGAATCTTCTGCAGCCACGCAAACCTCGAAAACTGCGCTTAGCAGTGCAGCCTGGGCCTTCACTCTCAAGCCTGATCCTCCCCCACTCCGACTCTCATTTTCTTCCAGGCGGCGCAGCGACAGGAGGATGAAGACGGCCTCGGCTTGAGTATTCACGCAAGCTAGCTGCAGCTTCTGGAAATACACCCAGGCTTTATTGAAGCGAAAGGCCGCGCAAGCAGCTCCGGGCAGCATTACCTTCTTTGCCTTCCTCTCTTCTGTGCCTATTACTCTGTACGGGTGATTACAACACAAGTGGACGCTCCGCCGCAGAAAGGACTGCATTTCCTGTTCCTGTTTGCTCCTTGTGGACAATGAGTCAGAAGGGATAGCTTCCAAGTACTGGTTACCGTATCTGCCACGCTCCGGCTGTAAGACAGCATCCAAGTAACCGAGCCTCTTAATGCCCGTGTACAAACGAAGATCAGAACTCTGAAAGAAATTCAAGAAGCGTATAGACGTAGAATCTAAACACTAAACATTGGCGCAAGAGACGTCTGTGTAATTCCACTGTCACGAAAAGAAACGAAAGATCCTGTCACCTGCTCTCTCGACGCTAAGAAGCCCGGTGTCGGTCGTGCGCAGCCTCAAATAGGTCCCCTGGTACTACCTTCCAACCGCACGAAGACGTGTGAACATAGCTCAGCTGCTTGAAGCTGCGCGTCCTTCATCCGCTTAGCGCCCACGAACTCCTGTGAGGGTCATCTTCTTCTGGCCACCTCGAAGCCTCGAAAGCCAAGAGCCTGTCCCTCCCCCATCTTCCCTTCACTGCCCCTCCTTGATGAACTCGAAGGTCCTCTGCGACAGCCTGAAGGTGCAGCTTGCAAAGAAACGTCAGCGCACCAAGCGGTAAAACCACTGATGGAACCATGTCGTGCACAGGGCCGTCCTCGTCGTGGTCAACTTTAATCCATACGAGTCGGCAGTGCTTATGTCAAGATTAGCGTGTAGTAGCTCTGAGGAAAGTACACTTCAACTAGGACTGCAGGACATCACATGTGCATTATTGAGCCTACGGGGAGGTCGCCAAGTAGATGCAGAATTTCTCGACCCAAATTGGGGTCCTGGCCTCTGTGTGATCTTCTGGCAATCCACCATACTGGGATAGTCATCCTCAGCAGGAATCACAGGCCTTTGTAATGGGAGTTGCGATCCCATTGCGTATGATAAGGTGCCTGCGAAGGCCTTAAGGCAGATACCTGCAAGAACAACCCTCAACACAAGGTACTGTCGCACACCATTTAACGGCAGCAACTCTACTAAGAGCATGCAGCACTCTTTTTCTGAAGGTGGGGTGCACAAGCAGTCCTCTGAACGTCTTCGACTGTTGCAGACTGAACCGTCTGGCACTGGCTGGATCGTCCGACACCGGCAAAAGCAAAAGTCTGCGACCGACTATTCCAGGAAAACTCTGCTGGACTCATTTGCCCCCCCAGAAAGAAAATTTTACATTCCTGGTGCGGTCTTGACTGTAGCCCACTGTCCTGCGATCAGCCCGTCTGCAACTGACTGGCATGTGCAACATGCCTTGACAACACTGAAGTCTACACTCTGCGTCGTCTGCAGGCCTGAAAAGACTGTACGACCACACAAAAGTCTGTCTGCCTGCTTTCGACTGATATGAACTATGCCGCTTCGGACATTGGTCAGAAACTGATAGTCGGGGTCTCCCGCTACCAAGGCTAAGCTGTGGCTGACACTCTGCTTGGGTCTCTTCGTCTGAGGAACCTGCACTGCTGGCCTCACTCTCAGAACTGCTGCTGTCTGACACTACGGGGGCTGCTGGTGTCTGCGGCTGCACGGCGGCTGGTGTTGTAGAGGACGAGGCCACTGTCCCTGACTTTGCTGCCTGCCACCGCCCTGACCGCGTGCTGTCTGGCTTGAAGCTGCCGTTGCGCACGGACTCCAAGACTCTTTCAAGGGTCCTCAAAGGGCCTGCCAAGGCGTCCCTGCCGTAGCTGACGGCGCTGCTACTCTTGCCCTTGCTGTGGTAGCCTAAAAGAAGCTGATCCGAGTCTGAGATGGCGTACTTCATACACCAACTAAGGCATGTTGCCTTCAAACCCTGACTGGACAGCGACAGAAGTCTTTCTTCACTGCATCCAGGCTGCTTGGACAACAGGCAACGTAGCCAACGAGAGGCTGTTGCAGAGTCCATGTTGGTCTGCAGGAGGCTGCCGTCTGCTGCTAGGTCTGGTAGTAGAGGGCAGTCTGCAAGGGGGCCCGTCGACTGAGAGCCCTAAGTGCTGTCTGAGACTCAGCCATTCTGTGGCCCATGCCTCCTGACAAATGCCAACGGCTGGGGCCACAATGGGCAAGAACATGTTTCTCCTGCGGCTGGCTTTGGTCTGTTTGGGGTTCAAAACTTTGCACTCTATGTAGACTGGCTCTCCATTCTCATCTGTGTCCACTGTTACTGTACGGCTGCGCTTGACATCACTGTGTCGTGCCCTGGCGTAGATCATGAACAGGAAAGAACTAGCCAGGTAGCGCTCGTACTGACTCTCGTCTGACTGCGCCAGCGTCTGAAGCCAGCGTACTTCGTCTGCAGTTAAGGCTGGGGCCTGCTTGGGCGGCTTTTGTTGACGCATGCACTGGTGTGCAATGCCTTGCACTCTGGGACTGACCAAGAACTTGGCCTCTGTCTGCAGTCCCAGTACCCCGTCCGCGAAGTTGAGCGCTTGGCAAAGCTGGTCTGGAGCACTTGAGTCAGGCTGTTTCTGACTGAGGTACTGGCAGTACAGAAAAACGACTGCTTCGCTCAGAGGCTCGTGAGGGAAGCACTTAACCTTCCAGGCTGCGAAGCGCTGCAAGCTGCTGACCCGACTGAGCAGTGTGTTCGTACTTTTTTTTGCGAACCGAAGGTCGAAGTTCCCTAACTCCTGCTGCGAGTCCTCGTGAACCAACTCCAACTGGGTGTCCTCCGAGAAAAAGTGAGGAACGGCCCTGAGAACTTGGCTCCACTTGGAGAGGGCCGCTTGCCTCTCGGCTTGACTGTCCTGCGGCTTCCACTGAGACAGCCTGCGAAGCTTAGGCTGAGGCAGGGCTGGCGTCTGCACCTTCTGCTTTGTTGTCTGGCAACTGACAGGAGCCGGTAAAGGCACAGGCTCGGGCTGCTCCAGCAACTGTTCGTGTAGTTGGTCTAGAAAACTACAGTCCTGGGCGACAAAGCTGAAAGCAGGATCCTCCCAGGGCAGCGTTAAGTCTGAGCGGCTGCGCTTAACTGTGCCAAATCCTAGACCACACTCCCACGACGGGTCTAGGATACGTCTCATAGGGCGTGGAGGGCGGGCTGCAAAATCCTTGGCACTTTGAGCCAAAATGGACGTTGTGTACCGTTAAAGCTTGATGCAAGCATACATGGCTTAACGGCAGCAACTCTACTAAGAGCATGCAGCACTCTTTTTCTGAAGGTGGGGTGCACAAGCAGTCCTCTGTACGTCTTCGACTGTTGCAGACTGAGCCGTCTGGCACTGGCTGGATCGTCCGACACCGGCAAAAGCAAAAGTCTGCGACCGACTATTCCAGGAAAACTCTGCGGGACTCATTTGCCCCATCTTCCTTTCAATTTGCCGACCGCAGAAACCGCTGTGGAACAACTCCTCGTGCCAGACAGCGCAACCACCCCACCTTCACTTCACGTTCTGTAGCCTGTCTGAGAAACTCCGCTGCTTCACCCCGACTGGGAGCGTCTGCAGGGTTGCTGGCGCTAGGCACTCTGGCAAACCAAGACTGAAGCAAGAACTCTTCCTCGCAGCAAAGGACTGTCTGAAGGAGTCTGTAGTTTGACTCGGGAAAACCCCTTGCACTGATCAAGCAGTGCCTGGCTGCATCATTGTCTATCCACCAGGTAACTGGCCACTCAGTCATAACTGAGCCCCACACGGCCGCCGCTACACAGACGGCTAGCATCTCGCACTGCAGGATGGGGTGACTGGTGCCTTCTTGAAGCCAAGCCTGCACCATGTCCTGCGGCACTGTTGCCTGAAACCACTCTGTAATGTGGCCTGTGGGGCTGCAGAGGACTCCGCCTATGCGCCCAAGCCCCGCTTCAAAACTTCCGTCTGTGAAGACGTTGTGGGCTTTAGACGCGGGCTTCTTAAAGGCCTTGGGTTTGGCTGTAGGAACGTGCTGCTGCACCCAGCATAGGGCGTCACGTAGCTGGGGCGAGAGCTGCAGCTGTCTGTTCCTGCCTGGCCTGGCGCCTGCCTGCAAAGGCGAGACACTCTGCTGGAGAGAAAACGCCAGAAGTGAGGGCTCGGTGACACGTGCCGGCTACCTCCTGCTTTCTGCTGTCTGTGTTACTGACTCTGACGAAGCCTGAGGGAGTTCGCGGCAGCCTACACTCTACCTAGGCTGACAAACGACTCGGCAAACGACTGTGCCTTGCTGCCGTCTAGGGCAGTGCGCCAGCCTAGAAGCTTGAGAAGGAGCAGGAAGCAAGTTTCCACACTCTGGCTGTCTTCTGACACTGTGACTGAAGTGTAGTCGTCGAAAAACACAGTCAGAGGCAGAATCAACAGGCTGACCGCAATCTGCCAGATTGCTAGACTGCAGCGGCTGAAACCATGAACGCTGTCTGTCGCCCCGAAGGGAGGGCCTTCAGGGCCAGCACCGCCGGCGCTCCGGCATCTGGATTCCAGACTGAGACTTTCGCGAACGGCAGGTCCTCTGTCGCTATGCCAAGCTGCTTAAAGGCTGTTTTCAAATCGAACGTCCGCCCTTTCATGCCGGCAGGCTGCGAGGCTGGCCGTTTGTTGGACAGGCAGCGGCTCTGTATGTGCAAGGCAAGCGATATGGTGCTAGAGGACGGCTGTACGACGACTTTTTCGTCTGAGCCGAGGCTGCAGTTTACCGAACTGACTGAAAGGTCGTCTATCGGCCTGGTTTTGTCGCCTTGAACGACTGGGAATCTGCGGCCTAAGACACAGTTCACCGGTGCCTGGGTGTGTCCAGTCTCCAAGGTCGCCCAGCCTTGAGCACATTCTTTGAGGCTCTGGTCCCAAAGCTCTCTGTCGAGTCTTGTGTCTGCGCTGGGCTTACACTGACTCCAGATCTGTTCGTTGTTCTTGAGCCTGTTCTCCCAAACCTCATCTCTGTGCATAACTGGGGGTACAATCTTGCTGGGCCGAGTCTCCGTGCCCGGCAGCCAACCTGTGATCCTAAAGCCGGATCGCATGTCAGAGACTAGCTGAGTGTCCGGGAAGCCTATCCCTTTCAGGATGGTCTCGAACAGCCTGAGGCGTTTCCCTTGAAGGATGTCTCTTAGGTGAGGCTGCAGATGACTGTGGTCGTCATCCTCCTGGTCCTGGAGTTCCCGTGCCATGTCGCACAGAGACCGCAGCCGTTGGCATCGCAGCCGGTGAATGTCTGACAGACTACGACTGCTGAGACTGTTAACCGTCCTCTCCAGGGCCTCAGGCAGGGGCGGCAGAGAACAGGCTGGGTGCTGACTGGGGGTAGCTGCTGCCAGGAACCACTGGCTGTCCGACTAGAGCCCACCAGACACCGCTGTCTACCACAACCTTGATAGTTGTGGAGCCTACTTGCCCAAGCTCCGAGACTGCAGCGACTGTAGTGACTGTGGCTTCGCCTGCTAGACTAGGGGTCTCGTGCTCAGCCTCGGAGGCACGGAGCGCTGACCCTGGCTGGTTTACGACTGCTCTCTGACTGGCTGCGGTTGGCCCTGCAACCGCCGGGTCCTTGGCTACCCCCGACGGAGGGCCTCACTTGTCACAGGCTGAGTACGAGTGCTCGCCGTGGCACTTCATGCAGATGTGCAGACCCCCTTGCAGGTGAGGCCTAAGTCTGTCTGCCAGGTCTCTTCGCTGCAACCGTGGGGCAGGCTGTGGTTGAAGCAGATGGGCTGCCCCTTGAAGTTGGGGTCCAACCCTTTCAAAGCGGCTGGGACGGACGTCTGTGTCTTGTCCTTTCCTTTGCCCGTCTTGCCTTTGCCCATCTTGCCTGACTGCCATGCTTGCTGCATGAACTTACCTTTGCCTTTACCTTTGCCTCCCTTCTCAGTGGCAAAGGCTGAGTCCCACTGCCGTTTGTGCGGCAGGGCTGGCTGAGGCTTCTCTGGCTTGGGTACCGGGACAAGGAAGTAAGCGACCTGCATGCTACGCTGCCACTGTGCTATGGCTGAGTCGACTACGCCGGCTTTTCCTGGCCCTGTGAAGTCACTCTTGACTTGCTCGGCCACCCTGACCCAAAGCTCGCGGTCTGCCCTCAGAAGAGCGTCTATCCCTGGCTGTTCAAACTTTGGAGGCGGGGGCCGGCGCAAGTGCTCAAGCAGAGACCTGGAGTACTCCTCGTGCACCTGGAAGCTGCAGACGCCTGCCATCTCTAGTGCTAGACCTCTCCTGCTGAGTGCCTGAGCCACCCTGAGTTCTGTGGACAGGTCCACCTTGAGAGGCTGAGGCTTGACTGCTAGCCTCAAGGCTGCGTTCTCCAAGCGGAACAAGTTCTCGTCACGTTTCACGTTGGAGATTTCCTGCTCACGGCTGGAACACTTGGCTAGCGGGATGTGCCGTATTGCCTGATCGGCTAACATGGCACTGCACAAATCCACTAACTGGAAGCTCGGCTCGTACTGTCCGGCAATGCGGAAGGCACCGAGCTTGCTTTGCAGTGCCACAAGGCGACTGCTTCTCTCTTGCGTGAACAACCTGCGACTGGGCTCGCCTGACGGTGCTTCGAGCGTCTGCCTCAACTCAGCGACTACAAAGGTGCCTGCTTCGAACAAAAGTCTGCGCACCGCGGCTGTGACGACTGGATCTGCCTTGGGCTCCATTTCGTCTAGGAGCGTCTGCAACTTGACTGGATCTGTCTGGTTCGGGGCTGAGGCGACGCGAAAAAGAAGCTGACTGTACGTTGCTATGCCCTTCTTTTCCCAGGCTTCTAGGCTGGCTTCTGGGATGCCATGCTGCAAAGCCTTTGCTTTGAAAGTGACGTGACTGTCACTGACTGAGGACATGCCTGCTTCTCGACGTAGCGCTGCCAACCTGCCAGGACAATTGTAACACTGCTCACCAAGAGTTACAGGGGCCTGTGGTATGTTCGCCTGCTGGTCTGGAGTTGCCTGCCGGACCGCAAGGTCTCTATGAAGCACAAGCTTTGACTGAGTCAACAGAGGCTCCCAGCCTGACTGAAGCTTTGCCTGACACACAAGTGCAAGGGGCTTCAGCGTCTGCAACCTCGAGGTGCAGAGAGGCCTGGGAGTTGAGGCTTTGCCTGGCACAAGCCGGCGAGAAGCACAAGCTCGCTACAAGAGCACCGTGCCTGCAGAAGGTCCCCAAGGACAACTGCCCAGCCCACCCGACTGGAGCCAAGCATGGGTCGGGCGCAGCTGGCACGGCACACACAAGCTGCACAAGCAGACTGCACTGAAGTGCTTTAGGCTGTTTTCAGGCTGCTGAGCGGCTGTCACCAGTAAGGGTCTGAGTGACTGCAAAAGACAGCAGCAAGCACTGTGAAAGCTGAGGCACACAAGTGCCGACTGTTCTGAAAATCCGGCCCCACTGGGCTGAGCTGCAACAGATGCTGTCGTGGTTACCTCAAGCTGCTGATTGTTGTACTGATGCCCAGGGCTGGAAACAGGCCGTAGAGGCTAAGACCAAAAGACTGACAGGCTAAGGCCGGCTGAAAACGACTCAAACAGGCTGGACTCAGACTCACCAAGGAGGGGGCGGGCGTCCTGTCGCGCTCAAAATGCAGAAAAACTACTAGGGCCTCCGACAGTCCTGCTGTACCTCGGCTGTCAGCGTCTGCGGTGACTGCGGCTGGACCCTGCCAATTTGCTCTTGACAGGAGACTGTGTGGCTGAGACCCCGCCTGGAGTATGACAACGAGGACAGTCATGATAGGTGTGCCAAGCACCCCCTTCCTTGGTGATCGTGAGTGGCCTGCTGCAGGCACAAGCCCGGCATTGCGGGCAGACTGCCAAGCAAAAGCCATCGGTATGGTGACCGTGGTCCCTGAGTGCCCTTGGGAGGCGGCTTTCGCGGGCTGTGCTAAGGCTGGGAAAGGCTAAGGAGTACGGTGGCACCTCCGGCAATAGGCCGTGGGCGCCTACCGCCGCCCATTTGGCGAAGTATATCCCGGCATTGTAGCCGACCAGTTCGTTTGGGAACGCCTGAAGTGCAACTGGGTTGGCTACGAACGGCTGGGTGGGCCGAGGCTGCAGCGGCTGGTTGGCTGGCTGTCGCACGGGCCCCGCCACCGGGCCAACCCCTCGGGCTCCTGGCTGCAAGTCTGGCTGAGGCTCTTGCAGAGGAGGGTCTGCGACCAGGGCCGGTGGCTGAGCCTTGGCTGTAGCCGTCTGCGCGCCTGCCTGAGTTGCTGTGCCTGCACGACTGGCGCCGTCAACGACGGAGGTGGCGAGACTGTGGGAGCCTTAGCTGGTGGCTGGCCGCACGGCACCTGAGCGAGAGCCGTAGTCTGTGTCTGGGCTGGCGCAGGCTGAGGCATCGCCTTGACTGGAGGCGACTGCTTTCCTTTGCCAGAGCCTTTCTTGCTGAGAGGCTGCAAGGGGCCCATAGCTGCCTGAGCTTGGGCTAGGCCCGGCTGCGTAGTCTGAGTTGCTGGCACCTGCTGAGTTTGTACTGAGTCTACCGTAGCGAGTGCTGTCTGAGGCGGCAGCTGTAAAAAGACTGGGGCCTCAGATTGGTCTGCCCAAGAACGGCTGGGTGCGGTCTGAGGCTCGTCTTCTTCTTCCTCAGTAGAGGAAGGCCCATGACGCAACCTCCACGACGCCGTGCCCAGGTTGGTGTCCACGATGCACTGAACACCACGGTCCTGAGCATGTCTGACACGGCTGCTGTGCTCGACCACTTGTTCTAGCCGGCCCTGTAGATCGGCTGGAAGATTGGAGAGGCTCTCCACGAGCAGGTCGCCATCCAAACTCATCAGAGCGACCCACTGTTCTTCTGTCTGGTGAACCTGGTCCACCCACGACTGCTCCACCGGCTGTTGCATGACTACAGGGTCTTACGGCTAACCTGTCGAACTGCAAAATCCTTGGCACTTTGAGCCAAAATGGACGTTGTGTACCGTTAAAGCTTGATGCAAGCATACATGGCGTAAAGCCAATTTTGAGCCTTCCGCGGACTTAGTAAATCACAACAGCATCACAATCCCTGCGGCATGTGGTTGAAACACTTTCTGCCAATAGACACACCGTTTGGGGTTCTTCCAACACCCTGTCGACGTTGTGCATGAGCCCATCCGTCTCTCGCTTTAGGAAGATCTCGCTCTCTTGCTTGCTTGCTCGGGCAGCGTGTGCGGGCAAAGGCGGACGGAGGGGCGTTCAAAGCCCCCCTGCCGCAAAGGCCCCTCCGATATTTATTGGGGGCTTTGGAGGAGTGTGAAAGATGGCTGCTTTCCCTAATGTAATTGGATAAGGACGTTAGAACAGGGGTCCACCATTGTTCTCTCTCTCTCTCTCTCTCTGGTTTTCTCTTGCGTCGGCTTCAGCACGCCAAACGCACAAGTGCCGTGCTGTGCCATTTGGCAGATACAGAGCACGGAAACGCAGTACCTTGCCTGCAAAGCCCAGAAGCGTGACACGCGGGGTCGTGGTAGCATTGGACACTTATACAGGTCGTTGTTCTCTCCTCTTCTCTGCTTATTCCGTTCTCCTCTGAGCTGATCCTGATACCCTCTTCGAAAAAGAAACCAAGCAGGAAGCAGAGGCAGCCGGGGTGCCACCAGCAGCCACAAAGCACTGAGCACGGACAGGAGGGCTCGGTTCATCTCATCCTGCGCGCCAGAGACAGCATCTTGCTGGGCTTCTATTGATTCCGCACAGCCTCTACGGTTCCAAATTGCAGTTTTGCAGCTGGGATTCGAGTAGCGTGGAGCCCTTCAACTCTGACTAATGAACTGGAAGATGCTCACCCCTCTCTGTGAAGCACAGCGTGAGAAAACTAGATCTTCCAGACCTGCAAAAAACTGCCAGAATCACCGCCAGATGTCAACACCGTGCGAACTTGAACTTTGGGTCCCTGACCCACCCTGTAACCTTCCGTCCTCATACCCAAGCCCTGTGTAGATACCGTCTTCCCGGAGCTCTGGTATGTAATTCTTGATGGCGTCCAGGCGTGCCTGCCAGGGTCAGGCGCTCGTCGAGAAGTCGAGAAGAACTGATGCTTTGAGAGCCCAGTCCTCGTTGCTAAGACCTGGCTCTCGAATGTCGTCAAGAAAGTCGGTGAAGTCTACCTCCTCGTTGGCTCTTTGGCTTTGGGGTTTGCCACTGTCGGATGCGAGCTTTCGACCGAATCCCGGCCCTGGCGGCCTGAAGTCTGAAGTCTCATAAAGCAATGCCCCCGAAAGGAAGGACACTTCTGAGAGGCTCTCCTCAACCGACCTCAGGTTGTGCACCCGTCCGGTGCCAGGGTCCAGCAGCTCCTTCCGCATCCACCAAGGTCATCAGAGGTTTCAAGGTTTCATGGGCCTCTCTATTCTTCAAACTAAGATGTTGGTCATCGCCTGCTTTGCTCGGATTCTGGCCTGCGTGCTAGCTGGACCTCTGGATTCCAAGTCTGTATGTAATCTCAAAGGCCCTGAGCCTGGATCTGAAGAGGACTCGGAATGCACGGCACCTCATCACCTTATACAAAGCAATCCCAGAACGTTCACCCAAGCGCTGAAAGCCGCGGACTTCTGCGGCCGTGCGGCAGCGAGCTGTGTGTGCGTGACACAGTCGTCAGCCGTGGCCTCACGGCAACTCATGGCGTTGCTGCCGGTCTGCTGGACGCCGCAGCTGTGTAATTATGGTCTTCAGTGTATGCATGCATGCCTGGGCGTGTGAAGTGTGCGTGAAGTGTGCGTGAAGTGTGCGTGAAGTGTGCGTGAAGTGTGCGTGAAGTGTGCGTGGAGTGTGTGTGAAGTGTGTGTGAAGTGTGTGTGAAGTGTGTGTGAAGTGTGTGTGAAGTGTGTGTGAAGTGTGTGTGTGAAGTGTGTGTGAAGTGTGTGTGAAGTGTGTGTGAAGTGTGTGTGAAGTGTGTGTGAAGTGTGTGTGTGTGAAGTGTGTGTGTGTGATGTGTGTGTGAAGTGTGTGTGAAGTGTGTGTGAAGTGTGTGTGAAGTGTGTGTGAAGTGTGTGTGAGATGTGTGTGAAGTGTGTGTGAAGTGTGTGTGAAGTGTGTGTGAAGTGTGTGTGTGTGTGTGTGAGATGTGTGTGAGATGTGTGTGTGAGATGTGTGTGAGATGTGTGTGAGATGTGTGCGAGATGTGTGCGAGATGTGTGCGAGATGTGTGCGAGATGTGTGCGAGATGTGTGCGAGATGTGTGCGAGATGTGTGCGAGATGTGTGTGAGATGTGTGTGAGATGTGTGTGTGTGTGATGTGTGTGTGATGTGTGTGATGTGTGTGATGTGCGTGATGTGTGTGATGTGTGTGATGTGTGTGATGTGTGTGATGTGTGAGATGTGTGTGAGATGTGTGTGAGATGTGTGTGAGATGTGTGTGAGATGTGTGTGGGATGTGTGTGAGATGTGTGTGAGATGTGTGTGAGATGTGTGTGAGATGTGTGTGAGATGTGTGTGAGATGTGTGTGAGATGTGTGTGAGATGTGTGTGAGATGTGTGTGAGGTGTGTGTGTGTGTGTGAGAGATGTGTGCGAGATGTGTGCGAGATGTGTGCGAGATGTGTGCGAGATGTGTGCGAGATGTGTGCGAGATGTGTGCGAAATGTGTGTGACATGTGTGTGACATGTGTGTGAGATGTGTGCGAGATGTGTGTGAGATGTGTGTGAGATGTGTGTGAGATGTGTGTGAGATGTGTGTGAGATGTGTGTGAGATGTGTGTGAGATGTGTGTGAGATGTGTGTGTGTGATGTGTGTGTGTGTGATGTGTGTGTGATGTGTGTGTGATGTGTGTGTGATGTGTGTGATGTGTGTGATGTGTGTGATGTGTGTGATGTGTGTGATGTGTGTGATGTGTGTGATGTGTGTGATGTGTGTGATGTGTGTGATGTGTGTGATGTGTGTGATGTGTGTGTGATGCGTGTGTGATGTGTGTGTGATGTGTGTGTGTGTGTGTGATGTGTGTGTGTGTGTGATGTGTGATGTGTGCGTGATGTGTGTGTGATGTGTGTGTGTGTGTGATGTGTGTGTGATGTGTGTGTGATGTGTGTGTGATGTGTGTGTGTGTGTGTGTGTGTGATGTGTGTGTGTGATGTGTGTGTGATGTGTGTGTGTGTGTGTGTGATGTGTGTGTGTTGTGTGTGTGATGTGTGTGTGATGTGTGTGTGATGTGTGTG